AAAAAAAAAAAAAAAAAAAAAGTGAATACTTGGGTTAAAGGTGGTTGTAGATCATGAAAGCAGCTCCCTTATTTTGCTATAAAGTGATCACAAAACCAATTGATCAAGGGGAAAATTGGCACCCAGTCAAGTGCCACAGTCAAGGTTTCATTTGAGCTGGGGTAGCTTGTGTTGCTTCAGGATATGTTGTACCAGGAAAAACTGAAGCATTCAGAGCTGTACAGCAGGTAGAACTTGTTCCCACCGATGGATGCTTATTTACTGCATGCTCTTTTAGGAGAAGATGTTTGTATCTAAGTAGGGACTTTTCTGTGGCCACCACCCAGACACCTGCCCTTAGGAAAGAGAGTGTAAGCTGGGATTGTTCAGTGGAAACAAGATATCTAGTGAAGCTCAGTGGGATCTAAGCACCAAATTACTTCAGTCCCTTTGAAAATCCTAACCTAGATTAGGCAGAGAGTAGGGCAGGGTGGCTGCTAAAGTACTGTTGGGTTTCTTCTCGGATGGCATCTTATGAGGTAGGTTGTTGCCTGCTAAAGATCATGCCTTTTGAACCGGTTAGTCTCTAAGAAGTCACCATGCCCTACCTTCTGCCTGATTATTTCACACCAACATGGATTACCCCTTATATGTCCTCAGTTTGTACAAATCCTTAGCCTTGATTAAGAGCTGATCACACCAAGCACTTCTGGAAGTCCCAGTTGGGAAGGGGAGACATGCCTGGGAAGCACTTCAGAGACTAAGGAAAAGATTCCAGAGTCGTAACATGATGATGGGGAGCAGGAAGAAACTTTTTTAACCTGGGTTGTGCAGAAGACCTTGAACCAGTAGTTTATATATACCGACCGGGGGCTTGCAGTGCAAAGCCAGGCCAATGTATCGTTTTATTTACAATAAAATTATCATTTATATTAAAGTTTTTCTGCTGTCTAACCTGCATAGAATTTCTACAAGCAACCCAAATGCAGGTGGTGCCTTTGGTGAATGAGTAAAATGCTTCACAAGTGTTGGCCATGGGGCTGACCTTGTGCTTGAGGGAGTAGGCCCCCTGAGGACTTCCCTGAGAGGCAAAGGAAGAGACATCCTTCCTTGCAAAGCACTGAAAACAGGTGGCTCCTGAGGCCAGATGTATATGTGCCCTCTGGAAAAATCCATGCTATTGGACTTTGGGCTTGGGTTCAGCCCTTTCCTGTTCCCCTGTTCCTAAAAGCCTGGAAGAAGCAATGGGATGGGACTGGAGTTTGGAGAGTGACTGATGTGGCCCCCATCCTCATTGTACCCAAGGGCTTTCCAAATATGAAAAAAACCAAAACAAATAACCTTTCTGGCTTTCAGGAGAACAGCTCAGTCAGTTTTATAGGACATTTGTGTGAGAATCTGACCTAGCAAATGCCATATCCAAGCCTGTTCTGCATGTACATTATGCCCTTCTCTACTGTAGTAGTGAGCACTGTAACCCAGGCCTGGCTCTCATCAAACTCCTATCTGCTGTAGTACCAGCTGCTTGTATCATGGTTGTAGCGGAAGATTGTTTGTGGATGCAAGTTCCTGGTTGGAGAGGGAGTGGATCCCTGAGGAGTTCAGACCGATTCCATTGAAAGCTCTGAACACTAGAGCAGATGTGACCTTGGCTAAAGAGAGACCGGCTGAAGACTGAATGCCAGGTCATGGTTACCTGTGCTACTTGGTAACTCAGTGGAAGCTCTTGGGGGAAGCAACCTAGAAAAGCCCGAGTACGTGGCATTTAGTCCAGTTTTAACCTATGAAGTAATCAGTTGCTACCCATTCTAATCCAAGTATTAGGGCACAGTGGAGAGCTCCAGAATGACTTTTTGTTTAATATGTGTAACTGGCTTTTTTGAAAAGCAATCTAAAGAGGGGAACCAAGCTGTGGTTCTTCAGGCAAATGACAAGAATTGAGTGTTCAGTTTTCAGGCCCACAGCCTCCTACTGTGAGAAGCAATCTGCAGTCTCATTTGAGTATACTGGAAATGTGGGGATGAGACCTGTAAAGCTGACTGGGGATTTAGGCGCAAGTGCCATGGAGATCAGTGCATCTGATTTTCATCTATTCTGTCCTGGGAAAGGGCAGAAATAGTGTTTGCCAAACCCTCAGAAGCCTCTACTCAAACACCTAATCAAAATTGCTGGTGCTATCCTGCCTTTTCCTGCAGCTACTTGTATTCTGCTCCGGCATCTTTAGTCACTTGAACAGAGGCTGGGATGCAAGTTTCTTCCTTGGAGACACTGGCTTCCCAGGCATGACCCCAGGCCCCGCTGTGGCTGACTTTTTTTCTCAAGCTACTCCCAGGGAGCACCTAGTTTCCATTTGAGTAAAACAGCAGTTTGCTGTTGCAAAGTGCAGCAGGATAAGAATAAATGGACTCACAATCAGATGCAACAGAAAGCCTGAAGGATGAAACACATATATGCCAAAAGTGCCATGCAGTCCCACAGCAGAGAAGAACTAAGCATCTAAAGCTGTTCCAGAGCAACCTGTCATGCAACATGTCCCCTCTTAACCCTCATCAGGCAAGACAGCACCAGGAGTAGCTGGTAAGGGTCTGAGAGCATGGTGGTTCCTAGAGGACTTGACTGGAATACTGTTTTTGCCATTTCTAGAATCATATAGATCCAGGGTGCCAAACATGGCCCATGGGCCAGATCTGGCCTGCAGAAACCTGTTATCTGGGCCTGGATACTGCCCCTAGGTATGAGTTGACCAGGACCAACCCCAAGGGCAGGGCCTGGAATGCACACCACATACAGCACCCATTCCAGCTGCTCTGAGAACTGTGACGTCCATCCCAGGTGCTCTGGGACATGATGCTTGCTCCAGCTAGTGCTGCCTGCAGGTGCTGCTTTCAACACAGGTCCCGGGCCATCTGGAGCAGGTGCTGTGTGCAATGCAGTTCCAGAACAGCCCCTAGGGGCACCGTGTGCCACACGCATCCGGGACATGGTGTAGTATAGCCAGGGCAGGTGCTTTGTTACACATAGCACCTGCTCCAGCCAGTCTAGGATCTGTGCTACATGCAGTGGCTGGTTTAGGATGTACATTGCATGGAGCTGCCAAAGTAGGTGCCATGGGTGCTGGACCCAGCATGGGGGGAGGGGTCCAGGTTCTGCCAGCCCATTGGCTCAATCCAACCCATGGACTGGCCCCATGTTGCTCATCTAGCTTGTAGGGTTAGATGAGTTTGACACTACTGATATAGAGGAAGACTAGAGGCAGGCATGGCATAGGTGTGATGTTGAGGGGAGATGAGAGGTGTGATCCCTAGTGCTGCATGAAAAACTTAGCTCTGGGACAGCATCAGGTGTCTGGTTTCCTGAACTTGCAAATGGGAGAACCTGGAATCTCTTAGAGGCACAGCCAGCCTCCTCTGGTGTGCTGGGAAGAGGCTTCATCTGTTTCTGCCTTGACTCCATAGCTCTGTTCTGTTTGGCCTAACACACAGCACTGGCAGCTTTTTTCTATATTAGCCTGAGCTTCAAAATCTAGCATCATTGTCTCTGAATTGACCTACAATGGCTTTATGATCATATACATTTGTCCCTTGCTTGCTGTTGTCCTCAGGGCTCTACAGAGGGAAGGAAACAATGAACTGTGGCTGGTGGATGTTGAAGGCAACAGCAACAACTCAAAAAACACTAATATAAACATAACAGAAACGCACATAAGAGACTGCTTTTGCGTGTGCTTGCCTGGTACTGGGAGTGCTGCTGCTTGTACAAGGCATAAATGGAAGTGTTGAGGTGGGGGTGATTTTAGGCTGGAGTTTTCCTTTAAGTGTTAAGAGGTTTTGAGATTAATGCAAATGTCACTATAAATCTGTAAAGCGCTATATTATCCTGCCCCAGAATGACTGTTTATATTGGGACAGGAACTCCTGAACCAGGAACTCTCAGTTTTCTGGATCCCAGAACTGTTTGGATGCCGTGTGTGTGGAGTATGTTGCATTATGTCCAGGAAATGTTGGCTTGCTTTCTCCTCATGTCACTTGCTGTTAATGGTACTATGATCTTTGCCAGGTGCATTGCGTCTTATAAGAACTCAGTAATTAGGGATCTTGACAGCATAAATATGGAGTGGATTCTCATTCATTTTTTGCTCTAAATACTACGTGACTGAGGACTGGAGTGTGTTCATGTTCCACTTCTGGGCCTTTGTTTCTACGCTTGGGTTAGCTATCCAAAGTCCTTTCATGGGGAAAAACTGAGGAGGCAGACGTATGTAGTCTGTGCCAATAGATTCTTTGCTGACATGGATGTAGCTTGATGTGACTTTACCACTGGGTGGATGGAGTTATCCTGCTGTAGGGATATC